TACTCTCCCCGTGAGTCTCGACAACTGGACTACATTTCGCAGTTTACTTAAGATATTCAACACATTTCTGGAGCAAACAATGTAGTTGCAGACGCCTTATCTCGCATAACTTCCTTGAATATTTTCCAAGTAATCGACCTTCTTAAACTCGCCGAGCTTCAAAAAGAAGACAGTGATCTTCAGCACGAGTTATCGTCCACAACCCTTAAACTACGCATCAAACAGATGGGAACAGGTAAGAAAACCTTACTTTGTGAGACATCTACAGGTAGGGATCGCCCAATCGTGCCGAAACATTATCGACGCAATGTCTTCAATACGTTGCACAAACGTCATCCAAGTGTTCGTGCAACCATCAAGCTTATAGCAGAAAGGTTTTGCTGGCCTGGAATGAATAAAGACGTGAGGGAGTGGGCACGCTCCTGTGTAAGCTGCCAAAAATCTAAGGTTATCAGAAACAATAAATCCCCCTTGGGCTCGTTTAAAACTCCCGATGCTCGTTTCGACCATGTTCATCTGGATTTCGTAGGACCTTTACCAGATTCAAATGGATACTCTTATCTCTTAACCTGCGTAGACCGTTTCACTCGATGGCCAGAAGCAGTACCTATCAAGGACATCACTGCTGAAACAGTGGCCTGCGCCTTTGTCGAACGATGGGTAGCAAACTTCGGCTGCCCTTCAACCATCACTACAGATCGTGGACGCCAGTTCAAATCCTAACATTTCCGTTGTCTGACCGCACTATTAGGAATCACTCGTTTACGAACGACTGCCTACCACCCGCAAGCAAACAGGTTGTTAGAACGATTTCACCGACAACTACAAGCTTCACTATCAGCTGCGAACGTTTCACAGTGGACCAACGCTCTTCCACTCGTCTTACTAGGTATTCACAATGCAATGAAAGCTAACACTGGATACACTGCGGCTCAACTCGTTTATGGAACGACACTTCGACTTCCAGGAGAATTCGTGGATCCTTCATCCTTTTCAATGAACATGGATCTAACCTCCTACACAAACAGGCTTACAAACGCAATGAGTTCAGTTAAACCTGCTTCCACTCGACCTCAATCAACTGATGTTTTCGTTCAACCTGACTTACGATATAGTACACACGTTTTCGTTCGTCGAGACTCGCATCGACGACCATTCGAATCAGCATACGAAGGACCCTTCAAAGTTCTTCAACGTGAATCTAAGTACTATATAGTCGACAAGAACGGAACAAACGATAGCATCAGCATCGATCGCTTAAAAGCAGCGTATTTAGAAGGAAATCCTATTCACGTCGACTTTCCTTCGGTACAATCGCACAACACGACTCCTACACTCATAATTCCTCCACCGACAACCAACACTAGCGATGATACTCCGAATGTATCTGAAAATATACCTAAACGACGCGTTCTGGAAGAAGAGTAAGATTTCCAGAACATTTAAACGACTACTGCACGTAAGGCACTACTTGACATTTTATATTATCTCGATTTTTCTTTTTACGATATAAAATTTTTTCTTTAAAAAACAATTTTGATATGCCTATATATTTATATTTTTGTTTTTAAAAAAACAACAAAAAAAAACCGAAAAATTATTTTTTTTAACGCTATTACGTGTGCTTGAGTTTATTTTCCATTTTTTCGCTGACATTGTGTTTTTACGCACATACGAGTGTATTGCGACATGCACTTACACCTTCTTTTTTCTTTTCCAGGACGGCTAGAAAAGAACGATGCAGTTTACGAGGAGTAGAAGTTTTCGTTGCAACTTTTTCTTTTTTTTACTATGTTGTACCTCGGTCCCATATAGTAAGGAAAGACGACCAGACGCTGCTACACTTAGTAAGCTATCAGAAGAGTGTTTACCAACGACAAACTCGTTGGGTTTAAACTTCTGGCTGGCCACGTCTTAGGGTCGTCACTGCCCCACTAGAGGGGAGTGATCTGTGGCGGTAAATAAATCCCCAAAATAAATAGCTCTATAAGTTTTCGGCATTGGATGCTGACCATATGTTTTAGTGGACTCATCTAGTTGAAGGCGCCTGGTCAGGCATCCGCACCAGATCACGTGTGGTAACGCCGTGCTCAACATCAACCGCAATCGCTAGCCAGATTAGATCAAAGAATTCCGATATATTGGTCATCGCCAAATATACTCTTCCGATCTCCTCGACTCTGTCTTTTGATTTCTCTGGGTGGGAACGAAATATATTAGAAGGTGTTACTGATAGAAGCGCTGTCAAACACTGAATACCTGTGACATCATCAGGGTAATATTTTTCATGTGCTTTATACACTTCCTGAAATTCACTCGGCGTCTCATGTAACATGGACTTCTTGTATTAGTTTAGATGTTTTCAGCCAAGAAATTCTTATCTCTAACTTATCCGTATTACTTCAAACTGTCACTCATCTAAAATATCGTGTTTTCGTTTGCACCCCCACCCACCAATGTGGTAATGACTAAGTCCTGACACAAAGTGTTGTCAAATGAGATTTATTTCAAACAAGCTTATTCGGCAGTCAAAAGCGTTTGGACGGACTACGGGAGTGAACTGTGTATGAACGAATAACAGTATATAAGATATATGTCATAAATGAAGTATCCTTTTGTGACCCTATATCTGACACCGAATTGATCGTTTGCTGCTTGTTATCGAAATATACATATCGTTAATCTTCGTATATAATCATCGACTTAAATCGCGTTCCTGAATAACGGAATTAACCAATCAAAATACAGGAATGGATTTTTGGATACCTATATTTCATACAACCTTCGATCCGAAAGCAAAGCAAAACCAAGTGACGCAATGTAGAAAGAGAGCGAATCAATTCACTTTAGCCAAGTGTGAATCAATATTTATTATCATACCAGAAATAACTTACAGAAATGTGATGAGTAAGGTAGGTAATTGGCACATAAATGGTCAAATAGAAAACAATCACGACGAATAACTGACACGGCAAAAACGTGGCTCGAGAAGAATCAATAGATTGATCTGCCTAGAGGCTAGAATAACCTATGTGAACTTGACATGGTAACCGCCCTCACAATCCATCTTCAATTTGACGAAGCAATTAGACGATAATACATGGACATTCACTCCAGTCTATGTGCACAGGGACGAAAATCCATAGTTGTTTGCAAGAGAGTGTAAAAACTAACTGATGAAATAATAATTATACAACAAACAACAAAGCATTCGCTTAGTAACGTTTTTACCATTGCTGAGAACACAAGAGTACGGTATAATGGAAAAATAGTGGAATGACCAATGTGTTTAAAAAGTAGCGCAACGTTCCAGAGGTATTTTCGTGCATGTCCGCTGTGTGATATCTGTTAATTATTTATGAATTGTGTAAAAGGGTTATATGAGTGAAAGTATATTCAGTAAATGTCAATTTGTTTTGAGGGGAGAGGCGGGAATAAATCTATGTTTGTACTAACATTACGTCCCTAATTACGTCGTGGAAATAGCAGTGGTTTTTGGTTCTGACTATCATAAGATAAAATGGCTGTTAGCTAGTTATCCAATGTCCGCCACATCAATTTGCTAGCTAACCTATAAGGCACATAAAGTAGCTTTATTTTGCGTATTGTTAGATGCATGTTTGACATTTTAGTTTATCCTGTTGCTGTTTATGTGTACTATGGACTATTTAGGATGTTCTAACTCACTTGATTTCATTTTTGATTTGTTTGTGCTCATTACTTAAATTCGTACTTCGTTTGAAAATACAATTAACAGTTTCTGGTGATACCAAAACCTAAACTTTTGTTACTGCATACTGTATATTTGTCTAACTTGAAGATGCCACAGCTATTCTGAGTTTGACAACGCTTTGACCAGTAACACCTTCTAATATGAAGCGTACCCACCAAGTGAAATCAAAAGGCAGAAGCGAGGGGGTTCGAAGATATATTTGATAGGCTATCAATATATCGAGGATCGTCTGATCTAATCTGGCTAGCGATTGCAGGGGATGTTGAGCACAGCGTTCCCACTCGTGATCTTGTGCGGATGCATGACCGAGCGTCTTCAGCTAGGTGAGTCCATTGAAACTAATGTGGTCAGCATCCAATGTCGAAGACTTACAGAGCTATTTATTTTGGAAATTTAGTTACCGCTACAAACTAAACAGGTCCCTGTGCTAAGGGATTGTTATATTACGTTCGGAGTCAGATATGGTAGTACGATTGCAATACATTACCTCTTAAAGTGTACCTTAGATGTGAATTTGTAATAAAGTTGCGGCCCGACTAACTATTTTATGTTTTGTCAAAGTGTACAGTGAAGATAATAGTAATAAAATACAATACCACAGAGCCTACTTCAAATCTGAATTCTCAAATGCTCTGCGGATGCCACAATTTTTCGGAATTCGACAACGCCTTTACATGCAACACCTGTGTAATCGAAGTATGACGACCTGGTCAAATCAGAAGTCAGAAACAAGGAGGTTCAAAGATATATTTGACAAGCTGTCGATATCTCGATAAGTGTTTGATCTTATCCAGCTAACGATCGTAGCAAATGTGTTGCACAGTATGTTCACTCTTGATATGGTGAGAATGCAAGAGATATATCCATTGAAACTAATGAGGTCAGCATCGATTGTCGAAGACTTACAGAGATATTGATTTTTTGGATTTATTTACCGATTCAATATATTTTGAGCTCTCACTTGAGACTTCATCTGAAAAGTAATCCATGCATCACATCCTCACACCTGAATAGGCATGATGCTCTCTTGAGACGTGTTTAATTAGTAATAATTAAAAATCAAACTCTTCTTAGCTATTCTGGAAGCTCTAGATTTGCAACCTGTGAGGTGCAGAACTTTTCGTGGTATATGACCCTGGTTCATCATATCGTTTCGTCTTATTTTGATGTTGTTACATTTCAGATATTTTCGCTATTACAAACCGAGAATCGCTAATCGAATGCTCATATTCGGGTTGCGCAGTTTCAAATAACAATGGGTTGCTCTACTCGCGCTGACCTTAAGTGTATTCGCTTCGCAGCCTATTTCGTCTCCACCATGCAGTACGTACTGTTTACTTTCCTCTTTTTAGACGGACTATCTTCTGGCATGTTTTGTGATCCATTTTCAAATCTCTCGACACTATTTTTTATTAAGATCTCAGTTTCTAAACAGCAAAAGTATCAAGAACAACCCATGACGAATATATATGTTCGTCAGATGACCCAATATCTAGTTTGTCCACTTATTTAGTTTCCATTCCTACATTGTTGTTTTGCTTAGCTTTCTGTTTTAGTTAGTCTTACACTGGTTTATTGTCATATTGATATCGTTCATATCTGAACTCATGCATTGAATGGACTGTAATCTTAAATTACGTTTCAGTAAACGAGTCATTTGTACTGCCATTTTTAAGTTCGGATATTGGTTGTCGCATAAAGAAACACAAGTTTCTTTAGCTGCCAAGTGAAAAATGATCAAAAATTCGTCATCCTTAGTTCGAGAGAGCAGTATAGTCGTATTGTGAGACTATAATTCTCGAACGAACTTTGACATCAGTGACCTGGAAATATCCAAATTACTAGGGCCCAAAGAGGGCTATTAATTATTATGAGAAGTTAAGGATTATGATTAATAATTAAAGGGTTTTCAGCACGAACTAATATCAATCGTAACAGTATTTTATTTGGATATATCGGTGGATGAATTTGATCTGATCGGTTCGTCCATAAATTGTAGGCTCCCCGTTTTTATCTTTAATTGGATCATAAGTGCTTTTGCAAATTATGTGGACACTCCCAAGGTCATTCTAGCGTCTCTCAAAGTCGTCCATAAATTTTAGTCTCACCCAGTTAGTATATTACTATTACAATGCTTTCATAAAAATCCATCACTGTGAAATGATGTTTCGAGTTGAGTTTAGAACCATACAAATCGATTTCCTGACATATTCAAGCGTTTTAAGCATCACAAGATTCCCTATTGTCAAGTGAGTCAGTAATGACATCTCGTTCTCAACGAAATTATGTCTTTCTCCATTTTATCCCAAATACTTGAATGTTGAACACCGAAATTCTATTGTGATGTAAGCTTGGTTCTCGCACTTTGTCACTGAGGGTTTTTTACACGCATATACTGAATTTAGCATAAATATATCCCCCATTCAAGTTCTGCACTCGACATCTTAGTAAGAAGGAACCAATAAAATAGAAGCAAACAGGTATAAATCATAATATATCATTTTCGAAAGCTAAACATATGACAAAGTTCAGAAAGAACAAATAATGCCGAGAAATGAGTAGTATTTAATATTACTAAGTTGAAGATTGGTAGAGTGAATAAGGTCAAATATATTTGTGATGTGGCGAGTAATTTCGAATGCTGACACCGAGAGTTTCGAACCGTGGGTCCCAGTTACTTCTTATATCACAAGGAGAATGCGTCTCGCGATCGACACCCTAGACTAATAACCTTCCTGTTGCAACTGACTGACTGAGCCATCTTTTTGTGTAATCCCTGCACGGATTTTTCGGAACTGGTTTACAACTAAATCTAATCCCACGTAAATTAAACCATAAGGTTAGGAGAAATCAGTAGATTTCTGTGGGGTCTACAGAACTGATAGATGCCGGAAAACTCATCCTGTCTGGCTCAGAACACGATAAGGAGTGGAGGCAGCTTAAACGTAGGTTGATCAAAAGCCTACGTAATGATCGTGAGCAGTGGTGGGTAGCGAAAAGGGCAGTAGTGATTTTATTCATTCATTTATTTGAGCATAACTGTTCAGAGTTATCAAGGAAACAGGTATTAAAAATAGGGCTATTAGTGAAACTATCTCGCAAAAAGACGGGACTATTATTCACTCTCAGTTCAAGACATTGAATCGATGAGCAGAACTTATTTATTTTAAGATAAACATAGGTACGAGGATGCACCAGTGGTTGGGAATCAAGGTTTTCCAACTCCTCGAGGTAGATCCTCCATATCCACCGACCCAGTTAGAGTGACAGACATTCGCTTTTCATCCTCTCAATTTCGTAAACAGCACCCCGCAGTGAGTAGAACTTCACTAGCGGTGGCTGTATACGAGTGGCCATATGAGAACATTTCAAGAGGGAGGATGGATTCTTCCTACCATCGACCGTACCAGGGCATTAGGGAGCGATGAGCAGAACACTAGAGGACAGTTCAACCTGCCTTCAGCGACATTTTAGTTACCCACTATCTTCAAGGAACCTGAATGGGGAACTAAAGTCCTCCAACTCTTAGTCAGGTTGAAAAGGCTATAAGTAATCTCTAGCGAGGGCGAGCAGCAAAAACTGATGGACTAATGGTCCGGTTTTTGCAGTTGGATTAACTAAAATCTGGAAACTGGATGTAATCTCATCCGACTAGTCTCGATCGCTGATTGTTCCAGCTCATAAGAAAAGACAACCATAAAGAAATAAGTTTAACCCATTTATTGCCTGAAATATTAACCTGGATGATACCTTAACGTCTAACTAGAGCTTACGAAGAGCGAATCCGAGAAAACCAGTCTGGTGTCAGACCTGGACGTGGATGTATGAACCAAATATTCAGCCTTCGGTAGATTCTGAAACATGGACATACGTTTTGACGTCCTACTATAGTTGTTTTCCTTGACCTTAAGGCAGCATTCGACTCTTGATCGTGAGGCTCTTTGTCAGTGTCTGCCATTGATAGGCATCCCAAAGAAGTACGTTAACCTTGTACAGGATCTCTACTCGAACACTTCTGGTCGAGTCAGAGCTTATTGTGAACTGTCGTCGGCTTGTCTACTTCAAGTGATGGATTTGCTCCAGCGGTCTTTAGGTCTGGTGGTACAGTTTTAATGATTGGGTTGACTAATATTTTAGCTAAAACCTGGGAGTCGGATATAATTCCATCTGACTGGTGGCAATCACTGATCGTCCCAATATGTAAGAAAGGGTCAAAATCATCCTGTGATAACCATAGCGGGATTAGTTCGACTAGTATAGAACCTAAAATACTAGCCTCAATAATTGTCGTACGCTTAACAAAGACTCGTAAGCTGCAAACACGAGGAAATCAGGTTGGTTTCAGACCTGGTTGTGGCTGCATCGACCACATATTCACCATTCGTCAGGTTCTAGAACACAAGCATACTTATCGGCGTCCGACAATGACAGTTTATCTTGACTTAAAAGCAGCATTTGATTCTGTAGACCGGGAGGTTCTGTGTCAGTGTCTGTTATTGAAAAGCGTACCTCAGAAGTACATAAACCTTGTGAAGGCTCTTTACTCGAACACTACCAGTCGGATCAGAGCTTATGGAAAGTTGTCATTTGATTTTTCAACCTCAAGTGTTGTCCGTCAAGGCTGTCCACTATCTCAATTTTTGTTCAACTTCATCATAGGTATATTGATGGAAATAACGTTCCGGTCGACTGAATTCTTGGGCATTGATCTCCCTCCAGGAGGTCCACTTATCGACTTAGAATACGCAGCTGATATAGTTCTGTTTTTCGAAGACGCTGATAAAATGCAGAGGTCTTTTGGTAGCACTGAGCAACAATGCCAGGGTGTTTTGGACCCGTTTCTCCCCATATAAATGCAAGTTATCGCTTCAGGACTGACCTGCGTTAACACCTGAACTAAGGATAGGGCGTGAAGTAGTCGGACGCGTTGACAACTTCACTTATCTTGGAAGTCTGATCAACCCTAATGCGTTGGTGTCTGACGAAATCTCAGCACGGATTCGAAAAGCTCGCTTGGCTTTTGCCGACTTACGTCACCTATGGCGAAGGCGAGATATCCGTCTATCAATAAAAGGACGAGTATACTGTGCGGCAGTCCGTTCTGTTTTACTTTACGGCTGCGGAACGTGGCCATTACGAGTAGAAGATTCTCGTAAGCTACTAGTATTTGATCAAATATGTCTTAGAAATATCGCTCGCATTTTCTGGGATCACCGGGTAAGTAATAGTGAGGTTAGACACAGGGTATTGGGGAACGATGGTAAATCAGTTGATGAGGTTGTAAATCTTCGTTGAATAAGATGGTTGGGCCATGTGTTTCGTATGCCTGAACACCGTTTACCACGACGCGCAATGCTGAGTGGTGTTGGAGACGGTTGGAAGAAAGTTAGGGGCGGTCAAACCAAAACGTGGCATCAGTCCTTGAAACCACTAACTTCTAGTCTGAGCCACGTTGGTAGATGCAGACTACTTGGTTAGGGTGTGCGTGACTATCGTAACTAATGGTTGGAGATTCTTGGTGACATGGCTCAGAATCGATCACAATGGCATTGGTGTATACACTCTCTGTCTTCCCTTAAACTAAGAGAGCAAAATCGCTCCATATCTTTCTTTCTACTAACTATTTCTCTCTTCTTGTACTATATCCTTATATGCAATCTTCCTTTTATATATTACCACCATTGAATTAGCTACTTCTATGAACCCAGTGAATCTTGTTGTGCTAATGCAGTATGGAAACTTGGACCGATGCACATATGTGCCTGGTCCTACGTTGTAGATGACTGACAGACTACGTGGTTGGGGTCCACTTGATTATCGTAACCAATAATCAGAGACTTTGGATGACATGGTTCAATATCGATTGCAATGGCGCAGGCTCATCTACTTTTAGTCTTCACCCAAATTCTGAGATTCTAAGTTCCTCATAACTTTCTTCGTTCTTATCCCGCTAATTTATATATATTTTTCGAGTTGCATCTTCTGTGTTTAATCTTTCCTATTACCACTGATACTGTTACTACTTCTACTGGTCTGGGGTTTTGCCTGACAATTTCATTTCGGTGTGCTAATGGGGTACATGCATACAGGTTCTACTTTATGAATGAATGACTAAATAACACGTTTTTATTTATTTGTTTTCATTTCCTTTTTCCTTATCTCCAAAGTCCTGAGAAGTGTTATACAACTGACTTTTTCACAAATCACTGGCTTGAATATGTAACGGTTGTAAAGTCAATCCTCACTAGTGACTATAATATATGGCGATTTTTCCTTCACAAATTTCCCTTTCGTCCCTTGGAAATATAAAACAGAATATAATTCTGAGTTTTGTTGCTATCAATATTGGGTCTTTATTTTTTAAAATTTAATTTCGCGAAAATGTCAGAAACCGTGTCCCATCGGTCTAGTGATTTGAAAGCCCAAGCCTTTGAAATTTTAGAGTGCTTCTAGAAGGTTTTTATTGCTTGATACCAACTAGACAACTTCAAATGGCGTCTTTATTTCTGCATAAAGATGTCAAACTCCTTTCCACGGAAACTTAGGATAATGTTTAAAATGCATCACTGAAGTCTTTAATGTTTTCACTACGTCGAGAACTGAATTTCTATACTGACGCCTTTTTTCTTTGACAAATTTTAGGTAAATGGAAAATTACCATTATCCTCTGCAAAATATTTTTGTTCATAACCCTTTCTCATGTATCATACCCCTTCCACAAGGAAACGAAAGTTCGTTTTTCAGTGTCCCTGTGCCCTTATCATCTCAACCCAAACGGGGGCCGCTTCTTCAAGATCCATCTACAACCTTCAATCCACCAACAAGCAGTATATCGAGTTCATTTACATAAAGTGTGTTTATTAGGTCCTTCAAATGATATCATACAAACGTCATTATGTGAAGTAAATTTGGATGATGTCCCGATGGAAATTGTTACTTCCGAGGAAGACTCGGGATCAGAATATGCTGATGCTTTCCTCTCCGCATATACAGAGTCCGAGGATCCAGTTGTTCAGAACGTAGGTTTACCTTATTTGTTATTTATTTCTGAAGTGCTCAGCAGAATTAGATGAAATTGAACTCAGAAGTCGTGCACTAAGGAGTATGCTGCTCCAGAAAAAAACCGCTTCAGGGAATAAAACTCAACCGAAAACTGATCTCACACTGCTCCATAACTTACCTGAAGTCAGGAATTCGTTTTCAAAAGTCAAGGCATCATGTGATTCATCAACTCTTAAACATAAGCAGAAATTTATAATTACGTTACATGAATCATCAGATAGCGATGACTCACTTAGTCAACCTGTTGGTGCTGTTTTCAAGGGTTCAACAGCAAAAAGATGCGCTTCTAAGCCTCCTATTAACATGGATATTCCTAATCAGTCAAAGAAAATCAGTCGTTTTCATCAAGAAGAAAAAATGTTGTTGCAAAGAAAAATGGAGCTTCTCCGACTGAAACTAACTGTTAAACGTCAACAACACTTGATAGATGAACGACGTAAAATCGTTCGGAAGTTATCGACCACGTTATCAGAACTTCGTAGGCGCAGTAAGCATACAGCTTTGTTGTATAAAGAAGCTAGTAAGTCTCTTGTCAAGGCCCAACGTACAAATGCTACTTATCAGCGAAAACTGGCTTCAGCCCAAAAATTATATTCAGATGTGCTTAATTCTGTAAACCGCTCCACTGCGGACATAATACAAACAGGTTTTGCTTTATCATCTGTAAATCTACGCAGAGATCTTATTATTTTGTCTCTAGATGTTCTACAAAGAGCGAAAGTGGTTACGTGGTTTCTTGTTCACTATCATTTTAACCCAACTACATCAAAGTTTAACATGAAAAGTGTGAAGCCGGTGGCAACAGTAAAACCAAGTTCAGAAACCTTGCTGGAATTCGATCCATTCCGCCCGATTTGCCCATTTTTTCTCGATGGTGAATGTCTAGATAAAACATGTATATTTCAGCATCCCAAAAATTCAACTGTTATAAAAGCAAAATCGAAAACTTTTTCCCCTTTATTCATGGTTAGCACGGATGTTGTGTCTCTGCTTGGTGAGGAAAATAAAGGGAGATATGATGACGTGTATTGTGAAGTGTGCAAAGAAAATTTGGTCATGTCTGCATCAGATTTCTCTCAGTCATCAGCAATACAACGTTGGCATACAGCTTATCTTGCATATTTACGTTCAGAACCAAAAAGCTCGGCCTTCCTTCATAAATTCTCAAGCGACCTCGAAAATTCCTCATTCCCTGCAGATTTATGTGCCCATCTAGTATTCGGACTTTTGTTATGTTCTAATATGGATCCAATAACAGTTAAGCAAAAGCTTTTTGATTGCCTAAAAGCCTCCAGTTTTCCATTGAATGCTTGTAGATTAGCATTACGACATCCCAATTTAAGCATACCAATCCGCAGATCAATAATTAAATTGTCTGTTGAATATATAACTCTTCAATTCCAGCAAGATGCACAAGCAAGTCAAGAATCAAAGTTTGAGTCATCTTTCGCGTACTTCGTTTATCAGTGGTGTTTGCTTGAACAAGAACTTGGTTTACATAACAAGGTAATTACCATCCTAAAACATACTCTCAAATCATTACCTACGGAGAACAAGCTAATTTATTTCTTGTGGTGGTTACGATTATATCACCAACTAAATGGTACTTTACCCCATGAAAACCTATTTTCTACCGCCAATTCACCATGCTTCTCCAAACCAGTCCTCTTATCTAACCTGGAAATTATTGAAATGGCAGCCACTGAAACTGGTATTTCTAAAAATTTATCTCAATTACTGGAATCATTTGAAACAATTAAAAATGATATTAGCTTCACTTGCTTTCTGTATATCACTCATTTATACATTCAAACTCTTAATGCAGATTCCAAATTTAAAAGTGCAGCAGATATAGCACTGACAGTAGCATTACATTCCCCTGAGTTTGTAGATGATTTATTTTTCCCATCTGCAGTATATTCTTTATTTTCCTTAGATTCATCTCTTGACTGGACAAGCTTGATTAGTAATGTGTCTGACAAATTACGAGTCAACCTTAATTTAGCCCATCGAATTGAATTTGGATTCTTGATAACATGTTTAAATTGGCGTAGAAAAACATTAAATTCTACGGAGTTTCATCTTATTGAGTGTTTAGGCAATTTAATCTTTCTTCCAAAAGATGATTGCGAAAGTGTTATTTCAGCGTATGAAAATTTGTTGAATATAAAGTCCAGTAATAGCAGTCTTGTTAACTTTAAAGTGTGTCCACGAAGTTCCACATATTTATGGCTCAGTTATTGTCTGTATACCACTATCCATTGCCTAAATTACGGTGAAGTTTTAGACCACTTAATTAGTCACTATAAGTCATGCATCATGAGTTGTGCAAACGAAGATCCAAATTATGTTTTCATTCGTCTTTTAGCCCTAATGAGTCTATTATTAGCAAGTCATGTGAATCAGTTAGATAGTTCAACTTATCCTACTGTCATAAAGTTACTGTTCATCGATAACCCTTTCAAGTTGGATCGTAAGTTACTTCCAGCGTACTTTCTTGAGTTGATTCAACAAATTAACTTAGGTCTTCTTCCTTCTGGAATTCGTCACGATATATGTGTACAACTTGTTGAAATATATGGTGCTTCTCTGGTTCCCTCTTTGTGTCGGACTTTGTGTGCTCTAGGTGACCACTTTTTAGCTCAAAGTCTGTGTGCAATCGGATGTTTAGATAGACCTGATAATGAAGACTTCTGGCTTTTGTATGCTTCGACAACATTTAAAACTCTTTCACATATACGATCATCTGAACAGTTATCAACTCTTCTAGAAATTCTAATAAATGCAACTTCTGCGGTGACTTCAAGTTCTCGACTTTGGAAATATTATGCACTTGCTGTTCGCATTGCCAAGGTATCAGTAGAGCAAATAACGAGCCGTGCAAAGTCTGTTGGAATGTATGATCTCATTTCTAGTAGTCTGAACGATGACAATCCTACGAAATTTTTATCAGAACTTGGACTCCTCTGTGATGAAAGATCTATGGACAGAAAATGTTAGAATTAAACCATAAAAGTAAGTTAGTTTAGAAAAATAATAGTGTAACATCCTTATTTTCAAAGTTCACTTTGATAGTTTTATATCCAGTCTTTTAATAAAATGGTTCTCATTTTATTTATTGTATTTGTTCAACTAACCGTTTATTTATCTGCTCTTTGGTAGTTTACAACGTTTATTTTTCTCAAACTTACTGCAGGCCATTTTGTCAAGTTTAATAGAGAGCCAACCATTGTTAATTTCTGGAAAAGTAGTCTAATGTTTGGTTTGGTGAACATTTGTTGATACAGCATTGAATAACAAACGTAACCTATCACTAGAGGACTTAGTTAAACTAGTTTGAAACCTGTCACTAGCTCAGGTACATTTATTCTTTTATTTTCTTCAATCCCGAGAAAAACACTATCACATACTTCCCATCCCCAAATCTCAATCGTCCCTTTTAAACTGTCTAATATGTGTAGTTTTCTGCAAAGATAAGTATTTTAATTTTTACTTCTCTGGTCTTATCTTAGTAAATGTAATTTTTGAGGATTTAGACTGACATAAATTTTTGCCGAATTACACACTCTTTTTACTTCTATCTGTCAATTAGAGTAATACCAACCTAATTTGTTGCTTCTGGAGAAATGGGATTTTTTTTATATCCATTAGATAGTATAGACTTTTTATGGAGTGCTTCTCCAGAATCTTCGGTTTATGCTTACTGAATTGTTACAAATTTCCTGAGATTCGCTACAAACAGCATGTTAAATACAGTGAATTTAAGCACATTGCTCAACACAAACTCACTATTAGTGCTTGATAAATAATGTCAGTTGATGAACACAATATAAGTATTGGATTAGTTTTCTGAAATATTTTCGGAATCCAGTACTCTTTGCTTCTGTCTGGCTGACAATTGCTGGGACAGATCGTTTTTGTATGTTCAAACTTATTTATCCCGTTTTTGTAATTCATTGCTGTCTGGCTAAATGTGACTGCATATTTTTGTCTGCACGTGTTTAAGCAGATTTAATAGCAACATCACATAATTTCAACCTACCTTTGATTAGACCTGTCTACTTTCATACATTTTTATGTGCTCCCTAACTCTAAATTGTTGTTTTCGACAGTTTATAGTCAGTCGAATGTTTTTGCGTTCCTTTCTATGTCTTCTGTTATTGTTTTCCACCCACTTTAGGATTTCATCTATGTATTGGCATCAAGTAGTCTGTTCATAAATTCCATCTAGGTTACTTTCCTAACGAATTCCATTTTCAAGCTAACTGATAGGACAGATGGATAGTAGCTAGCAGTGGAATCCAGGACGTGAGTTTCGTCCTAACAAAGCTTGTGATCTAAGGCAGTATCGAGGCAGTCCGCACAGGATGCACGTATGCCAATGTGGGACTGATTAATTGCAGTCTTAAATAACAATGGGAAGATACAAGTTAGCAACATCAAGTGAATTTATAACTGATAGGAGGATTCCTCATGTTATAACGGTTGGGTTTACACGTATGGAACGTTAATTTACCTTAGACGAATATCTACACTAGATTCCCTCCCAGTGTCTATTCTACAGGACTTCAACGCAACTCAGATCAAGAACACATGATTAGCCTGACCACAACGTAATGTATTTCCATACCGAAACCCGACACAATCAAACAACAATGAACAATCAATAATAAGTGAGTAATAATAATAAGGATTGGGGAATATATAACTCATCTGACAACTGTCAGACTAAGCAGACAACCAATCATTATCATTCTCGCCCACACATCACCTCACTAAAGAGAAATACATTACACATTGCCATAATAGTCTAGAGCGACAAATAGCTGTATATTTTTATTCACAAGGTAGAAATTTACGATTTCGAAATAATGATATCGATAATAATAAGAGACGGAACATCTAGATTGTTCCGGAAGCAACGAATGAAATCGGCAAGTAAAGTGTAATGTTGACCCTCAAGATTCAGTTGATAAATGCATTTCCATCACTGCGACTTATAATGTCTTTACTTATCATCATGGTAATTTCCTCTCCCTCTGTGCTATGGTGTGACAACTTCGAACCGGTAAGCTTTCGTGTCAATTCCTACACTGAAGGTGACTACGACCATTAAATGTTTATGTCACACACCCCGATCAGAAACTATGCATGTTCCTGGATTATTGCACTTGAACTTCTAGTCTATGCTTTTCTAGTTAAACTTTAGATTCGGGATTGTTTAATAGATAGTTGTTCTTGAAGATTGTCTGATTAGCTCTGCGTTCTGTGTATGGGACCGGGTATTTAGTGTCATAGTTTTGGGTTTCTCACATACTGCCAAAACATATCTGTCCTCAAAATCCAAGCAGTTGCAACGTAATGGGACAAGCTGAACATTTCAGGTGTACATATATCTCATGAGCACAAAACGTTTCGACATTTTCTGGGATAGGTCATTTGTTTTTGTTGATAATTTAAAAGAAAACTGGAATAAGGAAGATCTGTTTTATGCTTTCATAATCGGTAGTAACAAGTGAAGTATAGTTATTGATTTTGCTCAGATTCTATGACCGTAACTTAAATTTCCTTCATTAATTTTAGGCATTCAATCATCATTACAAAATTTTTTCCAGCCAAGTTATTTTAAGTAAGTATAGCTTTACTCAACTTTATTGATGATGACGGTGTTATTGTTGTTTCTTTTGTAGTTATTGTGTTCATAGTGATATTATAGCATTACAAAGGTTATTTTTCATTTAGTCATTGTTCTGTATAAATTTTCAGGAGAGTCACATACACAAATATTAATGCTGCGAAAATTTTGTTCTGGTAAGTGCTATCTGTAGAGTCCGATAGACCAGTATGAAGATCACTTTCGGTCACAAATTGTACATTAATTTATATATGTAAATAAAGTTCCATTTGTAAACAATTACTCAAAGTCTTGTTCTCAATTTTCACGATGAAGTGCCATGTTCGTTTTTGTCCTTAAGATGATTAACCTAAAAATGATAATATTGGTTTGAACTAAATTTCACACGAGTCCCATTAATAAAGTGACGTGAAAATACGTGACCAACTTTACAGATTTTTAACAGGATTTCCTAATTACAAAAATTCAGTTTATTCAAATAGAATTGCTGTCAGAATAGATGGGTTATAACGTCTCTGACTGGGTGATACTGGCAAAAGCGGGTTCATATTTCACACGGAACACTATTTTCCCCAAGATTACAAATACGCCTTGTTGACTAGTTCCAACTAGCAGGGAAGCTAAGTCTAAGACTTCATGTTGACTGTTTCCAACCATTTAACTTGACGAACTCGCATCAATGCCCCCTGTGTATTGTGTACGCTGTTCGGTAAGATCATGATCATTCTTAGGCGATGAGAGCAAATTAGAGATAAGACAATAAAATTGATTGTAGTGTAGTGAATTTCGAATATCAATCTTACACTTGCGCTCATCAGTTTTCTAGATTTGCTAACAATGTCGGGACGAACTTGTCCAACCTTCGATTCGCATTAGTTTGAAATGAGGTGGCTAAATATCAGTAGTAGACAGTGATCCGCGCTTACTACATAACAGTTATTGATCCAGTTAAATACCCAACTTTGGTAGATTGACAAAATCAAAACATATGAGTTTTGTCCTAACTATATTTATGTCCCTGTAGCACTTCATCTCATAGGTTGGTCAATTGTGATATCTTTAAAGTACCTAAATATTTGTCAATTTCCCGTTAGGACGCTGACATATTTGGTGTTCAATGAACTATAATCTGCACGTTTATTACCATATTTCTAATGCCTAAATTGTTATTGTAATAAATTATAGCTATAAATTACTTTCTACTTTAAAAATTCTATCCAGTTAGCTAAGTAGAACAAACAAGTCAACACTATTTCAACATATAGTTTGTTCCTAAAGAAGCGGATATGTTTAGTGAGCAGAATGTGACGATTCATTATTAAGATGTTAAATATTGTGGGACGATTGTTAGTCTACACCTCGTCTCAACCGACATTATTTTTTGTTTCATCAACTAATCCTGATGGCATCGAGGTTGGGGGGTATTTTAACATGTGTAGTACATTATTTACTTCACATAAATACTATTAAACGACTTTTGCAGATGAAAATACTGGAAAATGTTAAGGTCATCTTGATAACGGTCTGTTTTATCACAATAAGCATGACGCTGAGTACGTAAATCTACTATAAGAACTCTACTTCAGCTGTTAACAAGACATACATTTACATTAATGTAAAAAAGGTCAGGGTATTGTACTACTTGTGACAATGTCACTTAATTAATAGCAGTGATGGATAGGATACCTTTTTGGGAGTAAATTCAGCGATCGCTAGATAAACGTTTTTCTTGAATGCTTGAAGTTAAAAAAATCAACTGGTGTCCACTTACTATCTAGCAATTGAATCCTATTCATGTGTAGTAGATAAGTAGCATTATAACCTTCACAAAAAATGGTTTAAATAAAACCTTCCAAATAGCTATTATCCGAGTGAACGGGTTCTAGATTTTAGAAAAGCATCGGATCCTAAACTTGTTTCTGGATCATCTTTAGAAACCAAAAACAAGTAGTTTTTTTTCAAAAAACAATATAGGGTAGTTAATAGTCGTAAGAATTATACATATATATAAATTTACATCCCACAGCACATGCTAAAGATTGAACTACTCAATAAAAATAACGTAGTGGAGTTCCTAAAGTATTCACTGGAAATTTGAATCAGTATCAAGTTTGAGTGCAGTTTCCAAAAACAAATTACGTTTGTAGTCATTAAACTGTAAATGAGTATGATAGACTGACAAACATTCTAGAAACAAACAACTTCGAATATATATATTAAAAATCTCCAGTCCACTGAGCAACCTAGCTTTGTGATAGGACGTGTCGTGTGGTTTTAGAAAACCAGGTTATCATACTGAAGACCCACATATACTCAACTAACTGTACCTTTCGTGGAACTAGGCAGTTGGCTTTTTAGCAGAACACTACTTCAGTACAACGAGACCATAAACGCTATAATTATGATGAACTCTTTATGTCTATGGAAATTACTTTTGTCGCTTTGAAAAACAATCAATTGATTCAAATTATGATCACTACAATTATTGTCATTATTAATACTAATATTATTATTACTACTATTATTGTTATTATTATCATTATTATTATTATTTTCCACATTATTCACCTTCTTTTATACTTATACAGCGGCTCGTCTTTGGTGGAATTCCGACTGTATCTAAACGTTCTCGAGTCACTGTCCGATTGAAAATTGTATGTTACCACCGAATACGAGGACTGAAGCAGATTTTCTGAAACCACGTGCACCATTCAAACTGGCTGCCTTCAACGTTCGCACATTTATGCAGGTCGGACAACAGATAGGGCTGGCTATGTCTTTGGAAAGTCTTAATATCGACGTGTGTTGTCTATCCGAGACCCGTATTCAAGACTCTGGCGAAGTACTACAAATTCGATCTCCATCTGTCGCTTCGAAAAGCTTGTTTTACGTGCGCCTATCCGGGGACCCTGTGGCATCTTCGTCTGGTCTTGCTGGCGTTGGTGTCGCACTAAGCGCTAGAGCTGAGGCAGTACTAGTCGATTGCATCCCCATTAACAGTCGGTTATGTGCTGTTAGATTAGAAAGTTCCATCAAAGTGAGAAGAAATCGGCGTGAGAAACGATGTCTTTTCGTCATCTCCGCCTATGCCCCGACAGATTGCAGCCCGGATGCAATCAAGGATGAGTTTTACCACCAGTTATCAGTTCTTCTCCAGAAAGTGCGTTCGACAGATATTGTAGTACTAGCCGGAGACTTGAATGCTCAGGTCGGGCGTCTAGGCACAGAAGAGAGTCGTTTAGGTGGCCGATGGGGACTCGTTGGTCGCAGGTCAGATAACGGGGACCGTCTACTGCAACTTTGCGCAGACCACAACCTGTTTCTGGCTAGCACTAACTTTCGGCACAGTCATCGCCGATGTGCCACCTGGCGTCCTCCCTCTGCATCTCAAGCCTGGACTCAGATTGATCACATCGCGATCAGCTACCGCTGGCGTGGTTGTGTACAAGACTGCCGCTCCTTTTGGAGTACCTATCTGGACTCTGACCATGCCTTGGTCTGCGCCAATCTTGCCTTACTTTTCAGTGGACAACGAAGTGAACACCATCAACGGATTGATGTTAGCAAGCTGGTTGCAACTTCTGTTGCAAGTAAGTATCGAACCGAGCTAGCCTCTAGGCTAGCTACCACTCCACCGAAAAGTATAGATGAGCACTGGTTGCAATTGCATGACGCCATGAAAATGGCGGGAACAGTCAGTTGTGGGTTTGCGAAACGTCCCGCTTTTAAGCACTGGGTTTCTTCTGGTTCCTTACAACTCATTGAAGCCCGTCGGTCTACTGCGGGTGACCGTGAGTTTGACCATAAACGAAAGATTTTACGTAAGGAAATCGGGCAAAGCTTGCGTAAGGACCGAGAAGCCTGGTGGTCGATGCGTGCTAATGAGCTGGAAGCAGCAGCTGCATCTGGTAACTACCGGAAGCTCTTCCAACTCATCCGAGCCACTGGCAGCAAGAAGTCTGGTGTGAGTGAAACAATCTGTGAGGATGATGGGATGCCAATCACTAACATCCATCGACGTCTTGGACGATGGGCAGAATTTTTCGAAGGGCAGTTCAACTGGCCTGCTGCTCCGGCAACATCGGTCAGACTGTCCTGCCCTCCATGGCCGGTGACGACTGATCCACCAAATGAGGAGGAAGTCCGCAAGGAACTCCAACTCTTGAAGCGTTACAAATCACCTGGCCCAGATGACTTACCTCCGGCTATTTTTAAAGATGGTGGTGACTTTTTGACTAAGGAATTGACGACGTTGTTTACAAAGGTTTGGGAACTAGAGAGTGTACCAACGTCATGGAATGAGTCGATAGTTGTCCCTATCTTTAAAAAGGGTTCACGTCGTTCCTGTAACAACTATCGGGGGATAGTTCAACTTCCAATTGCATCCGAGCTATTGGCTTCCGTCATTCTTTGTAGGTTGTTCAAAACCCGAGAAAGATTGACTCGCGAGGAGCAGGCTGGGTTTCGTTCTGGTCCAGGATGTATTGATCATATCTTCACCCTCCGCCAAATGTTAGAACACCGCCATACTTATCAAAGGCCAACAATCGTAGTGTTTCTTGACATCAGGGCTGCCTTCGATTCGTTGGATAGGACTGTTCTCTGGGATTGTCTATTGAAGAAGGGTGTGCATGAGAAGTTTATTAACATCCTAAAAGCCCTGTATAAAAACACCTCAGGCAGAGTGAGGGCATACAACCACCTCTCTCCATTGTTCCATTCGAGCAGTGGGGTTAGGCAGGGTTGCCCAATCTCACCATTCCTCTTCAACTTTGCCATCGATGACATTCTGGAAACAGCTCTGATGAATGTAAGTAATGGTGGTGTGGATCTGTTGCCTGGAGAAAGACTTCTCGACCTTGAGTATGCGGACGATATTGTCTTACTGTGCGATAATGCCCAAGGCATGCAATCCGCACTTAATCAGTTGGCAATCAATGTCCGTGGGTATGGTATGTGCTTTGCACCTTCGAAGTGCAAAGTACTTCTACAAGACTGGCAGGATCCTAATCCTGTACTCACCCTGGACGGTGAGCAGATAGACGTAGTTGAGAAGTTCGTGTATCTGGGTAGCTGCATAAGTGCTGGTGGGGGTGTGAGTGATGAGATCAATGCACGAATAGTGAAAGCCAGAGCGGCTTATGCCAATCTGGGCCACCTTTGGCGCCTTCGTGATGTTAGTCTGGCTGTAAAAGGCCGGATCTACAACGCGTCGGTGAGAGCGGTTTTGCTCTATGCTTGTGAAACCTGGCCTCTCCGAGTTGAGGACGTTAGACGACTCTCTGTGTTCGATCATCGCTGTCTCCGAAGGATTGCTGACATTCAGTGGCAACACCATGTCAGTAATGCAGAGGTTCGGCATCGTGTGTTCGGGCACAGAGATGATAACTCAATTGGTGTCACCATCTTGAAACACCGACTTCGGTGGCTTGGACATGTTCTACGAATGTCGTCCCAGAGAATTCCACGTCGTGCATTATTTTCCGACTCTGAGACTGGTTGGAAGAAGCGGAGAGGTGGTCAGTGCATGACATGGTGTCGTGGCATGAAAGAAAGCTGCAAAGGACTGGCTTGTGTTGGTCCTTCACGACTACCTGGCTGGGGTCCGAGAGATGGTGCTACACAGTGGCTAGAGACGTTATCAGATATGGCTCAGAATAGAAGCCAGTGGCGATCCTGCTGTAACCTTCTTTTACTTTCTTCATAAAAGGTGGTTGTGTCTCCTTTACCTGAAAGATTTCTTCTGATTGTACCTCTTCGTCATTACTCTCTTTTTCTTTTGCGTTCCTTAGTTTTTTTTTTCTTTCTTTCTACTTCTCTTCGAATTCCCATTGTTTTGTGTGGCGCATATATATTGGCGCTCTCTTGTACCAATATTTATGTGTTCAAATAAATAATATAATTATGCGACGTCATTTGATGCTTTTGACAATCGACAGTAGCGTTTTGCTACCGAATCTTAGAAGAACAAATCAAGACGAGTATGACGTTCGACTTAAAGGTGGGATGCGGTTCAGTCGAGTAGCTAGACAGATTAATATGCTCGGAATTAAAACACATTTAGTGTGAGGGCACATGATACTAGTATTCCCGAATCGGTGTTGGTAGGTCTAGGTTCGGACCCACAACATGGTGTTTGCTCTAACTACTGGCTCCAATCCCTCAATTCTATCCAACTGAAGACCAGTCATTTGTGGTTTTAAGCCACAGCATGAACGACTATATATTTTGTATCCGATTCCTTCACCTTCGAACCTTGTAAAGTGGACACCTAATTAAATGGATACCAAATAGTTTCAAACTAAAATCTTTGATTAAGCAGTATCAAAGGTTTGTATGAGTGATATAGTAACATTAATATGCGGCTAAGTGTTATGATACATGAGAATTGCGAAGATTCGATATAAAACAACAACTTTCGTCAGTCCTCTGGGTAAAAGTGGACGAGTTATATTCAACAAAATTGGAAACAGATTTACAGGAGTATGGATCCGATAACAAATACAAGGCCGCTCAAAATACTTGAATACGTGCATTAAAATAATTCAGTAAGAAGATATACTGTGAAATAAACAAGATACTAATAAGTAAAATATGCTTGCGTACATATATTTTACAGAGTGCAGAAGTGAGTCAAGTTACAGATAAAGTCCTTCAGGTGTCCCTTCACTTTTCCGATAAAGTACATTCTCTCTCGCCTTTTTGAAATCTTCGTCAGTGACTTTCATTCTTCTTTCTCGTAGAGCCAACAACCCAGCTTCAGTACAAATAGCCTGAAAAAAAGAGAAAATCGGAACCCACTTTTATTAGTGCGCAGTTAAAAATAAACATTACACTTCTTAATCTTTTATAGCTTGGTCTTTATAACATGACTCAGTTTGTGAATTCCATGGCACAGCGCTGATTTTAGCCCGAACGCATGAGGGCTCTTCTTACTCCATTCAACATAAACACATACAGAAAAAGATATCCTATCATGTAAAAAACGGTGGAAATTTTTGATGAAACCCATACCTATGAGCTTTCAAAGGATAATTGTTTCGTATGGGGTTTTTACAAAAACACTACATATGAACCGAACACTTGCACGATGTTGGTTTTAAGGACGTCACATAACTTTTATTCGAAAACATTTAAGCGATATATGAAGAAATATAGTGCAACAACGATGAGTAAGCCTGACATAAAATTTGCAGACACGCTACTTGTTAGTGAACCGATCTGATTTAATCTGAAATTCAGGATTTCAGAATGCATTCTGCCAGCTAAACTTGATGATTCCCAGTCGTTTTTAGATGACTTCAGCACTTCTTTATTTCATAAGTAAATGAATAACATTTTAGAAAAGATATACTGAAATGGTGAAGCAGTTTATTTAATTTCACATAAAATCTAGTATAACTGGGAAGCAGGAATGATATGAGCCACGTAACATAGGTTTGCGTGTAGGCCGGTTTCGGTAGCAAACAACAGATTGCTTATTTTGAAATCCCTAATCAAATGACTTGGAAGACCTAGGTCAATTAAGTCAGGCGCTTTATAAATTCTTTTAACGTCTCGGTCACACTGCTCCTGGTTTTCCTCAGGCCTATTTTTGCTCATCATACTTTTCAATACGCCCAATTTGGGGTAAGCAATGGTTTGGTGTGCTTGCATAAATTAAATATCATCTCACCTTGATGTCAGCACCTGAAAGTTCATCTTTAGAAGAAACATATTCCTCCAAATTTACATCTTCAGCTAAAGTCATGCGACTTGTATGAATACTGAAAATACGACGTTTTGTTTTTTCATCAGGTAAGGGAAATTCGATTTTACGATCGATTCGACCAGGTCTGATTAGCGCAGGGTCCAACGTTTCAATTCTGTTAGTGGCCATAATAACTTTCACGTCTCCACGAGAATCAAAACCATCCAGTTGATTAAGTAATTCTAACATTGTCCTCTGTATTTCGCGTTCACCACCTGAATTTGATTCATACCTAAAATAATCAAAACTGATTTATTGAAACAAACCTAGCCTACACCACATGTACGGCATACGAACTCAGTGCTATTCGGAAGATTCATAAATCTAACCTTATTGGCAATAAGATAATGTCAATCAAAGAAGCAAACGTAGTGAAAGTAACCAAGCTGGTATAGAAATATCAACAAGAAATAAAGTCACATCATTGCATCCTTTCTACAACAAGCATACTACTTAGAGTACAATACTTTTATGAATTAAATTTGCGGAAATTATATCAGCCAGCAAAGGCATAATCACTTAACATAAAAGTTTAATTAGGACCCATCAGTGAACTTTTAGATGCCTTGTTCTAACTACTGAACTAAATGGGTGGCAAAACATGACTGCTTCCTTAGTTGACTGGGTTTGGTCACTTGAATAGACACCATGTATCTTACTGGTATTCCTAATTCGGTTACCGAACACTTGGTTTTGCTTGGAATTATAATTTTCCAATCCCAAAAAATACAAAACATGAACTTAACATCCCGAAATACTTATTCACAGATACAGTATTCTCCCCGAATTTAAACTTAGTACATATATATGTTCGTTTTACTGAACAGTTATTTCACAAGGATCTCCGCTTGTAGCTCTTCTAGGGCTACTGCCGGTCCCAAGCCCAGGTAAAGAAGGTTGAGGTATAGAGTCAGCATCCCAGTCCCGTAACAAATATTGCTAAGAAACGCTAACCAGAATAACTCTGGTCACGAAGAGAAAAATAATCCACACATTCAGGGAGTTGCTCTGGTGCTGTTTAAACTAGCACGAAATGCACTTATAGAATGGGAATCTCATGGATCATCAAAGCATCATTCAAAACAAAGGAGGAGGGAATCACAATGAATATTATCCAATGTTATGCACCCACCGATGATAGCAATGACGACGACAAAGATCAGTCCTACGAGAGGCTGCAATCGATCATAGAGAAATGCCCAGGAAAGAACCTAACCATCGTGATGGGAGATTTAAACGCAAAAGTTGGAGTGGACAACAACGGTTATGAAGATATCATGAGATGACATGAACTGACTGAGAGACAGGAACGGGAATGACGAGGAAGGTGCAAATCTATGTGCATTCAACAAATTGGTTATAGGCGGCAAAATGCTTCCAAACAAACGCGTACACAAAGCTACATGAATCTCAGTGGGCCACACCACGGAAAACCAGATCGATTATATTTGTATCACTGAAACATTCACAAGGACAATGGAAGACGTGAGAACCAAGAGAAGAGTTGATATAACTGCAGATCACCATCTACCCGACCGTTGCTGCTACCTTGACGTGGTGGTCGGGCTTGCCTATCGTGATGAAGCAACCGAGCTATACTGGCTGAAACAACCGTTCCTCAAGGTCCTACCATGCCAGACATGTCGGTTGAGGAGCGGCAAGACTAAAAGCGACAAACCCAAGGTCCGAAGGCGAAGTCGTACTAATGACTGTACAGAGGTGTGACAGCAGTACGGTGTTTCCTTCAGACAACCGGCATGACAGCGATGCTGCCTTCCCACAAGGAGGGGTGGAGTTAGCAAAGGTCAACCCTAGAAATGCACACCTCGCATTATCTCACGAATATCCGTCTCCGGCGGTAAGGTCTCAACAAGTACGGAGCTAACACAAAAAGGTCACTGAGACCACCCCTAACACAATTTCCTTTTCAGGTACCTCCAGAAAAACCCTTTCACGGTGTGGATAACCGGGAAGTGATAACCGCCCTCATATATCTAACAGCACTCAAGTACCACTGTATTCATAATCAAACTCCCTCTTCAATTCCTATAATTCCTCCTACATCGACTTTCAACTCTAAACTTCCTGTTTCGGCTTCGTCCTCGAGTGTCACCATAGCCAACGATTCTAGTGTGCAAAACACTGCCCCAGGTCCACTGAAACCTCGCTCCAAACTACACATTAGAGCCTCCAACGTACACATACTATGTCAAGTCGGTCAGCAGGCCTCCTTGGCTAAAACCCTAGAATCTCGTACGATTGATGTATGCTGCGTCTCCGAAACACACATACAGGATCCTAGTGTGGTCATTCACTTGACCCCGCCTCAGCAAGACGGAGAGCTAACGCGATGCACCCCCCGCGTATCTGGCGACCCGATGGCTAGTCCTCGTGTACTGGCAGGTGTAGGCGTAGCACTAAGCATGAGGGCGGAACAAGTATTATTAAAGTGGATCCCCGTTAACAGTCGTCTATGTGTTGTTCGGCTAAACGGTTCCGTAAGAACTCGAAAGGATAGGGACACATGTGGTTGCCTTTTTGTCGTTTCTGTCTACGTTTCCACTGACTGCAGCTCGGATGAAGTGAAATATGAATTTTACAGAAAGCTCTCTGAACTTCTTCAGAAAGCTAAACGTTCAGACATAGTACACGTGGGAGATGACTTTAATACCCAGATAGGTAGCTTAAACCAGACAGAAAGGCATTTGGGTGTGTATTTTAGTATTCCGACACAGCGAACAGATAATGGTGATCGTCTGCTGCAACTGTGCTCAGACAATCATTTATTTTTAGCAAACACAAATTTTAAGCATTAGGAGAGACATCGTCTACCATGGCGACTTCCTGCACCAAACCAACGATGGACTCAAATAGACCATATTGCCATCAGTCATCGTTGGAGAGGTTCGATAGAAGATTGTCGTTCATTCTGGAGTACCTGCTTGGACTCCGACCATACTCTAATACGAGCACGCATCTGCTTGCGCCTCACTGGATGCAGAAAAGCCACACTAAGAAGGCCCATTAGAACTGAATTGAGTAACGAGAAAACCAAAAGTAGGTTCCAGGAACAACTGAGGTCACACTTAAATAGTTCTGAAAACGAGGCTGCTCTCAGTCCAGACGTTTAGGACGATGCGCGGAACACTTTAGAGAGCAGTGTAGCTGGCCTTCAGCTATTCTAAAACTGCTTACCATTCCCAGAAAGCCTGAATGGAACATTGAAGTAGGTCCTTCAACTCGAATTGAAGTGGAGAAAGCTATAGCTAATCCGAAACGAGGAAGGGCAGCTGGTTCAGATGGATTTGCTCCAGCGGTCTTTAGGTCTGGTGGTACAGTTTTAATGATTGGGTTGACTAATATTTTAGCTAAAACCTGGGAGTCGGATATAATTCCATCTGACTGGTGGCAATCACTGATCGTCCCAATATGTAAGAAAGGGTCAAAATCATCCTGTGATAACCATAGCGGGATTAGTTCGACTAGTATAGAACCTAAAATACTAGCCTCAATAATTGTCGTACGCTTAACAAAGACTCGTAAGCTGCAAACACGAGGAAATCAGGTTGGTTTCAGACCTGGTTGTGGCTGCATCGACCACATATTCACCATTCGTCAGGTTCTAGAACACAAGCATACTTATCGGCGTCCGACAATGACAGTTTATCTTGACTTAAAAGCAGCATTTGATTCTGTAGACCGGGAGGTTCTGTGTCAGTGTCTGTTATTGAAAAGCGTACCTCAGAAGTACATAAACCTTGTGAAGGCTCTTTACTCGAACACTACCAGTCGGATCAGAGCTTATGGAAAGTTGTCATTTGATTTTTCAACCTCAAGTGTTGTCCGTCAAGGCTGTCCACTATCTCAATTTTTGTTCAACTTCATCATAGGTATATTGATGGAAATAACGTTCCCGTCGACTGAATTCTTGGGCATTGATCTCCCTCCAGGAGGTCCACTTATCGACTTAGAATACGCAGCTGATATAGTTCTGTTTTTCGAAGACGCTGATAAAATGCAGAGGTCTTTTGGTAGCACTGAGCAACAATGCCAGGGTGTTTTGGACCCGTTTCTCCCCATATAAATGCAAGTTATCGCTTCAGGACTGACCTGCGTTAACACCTGAACTAAGGATAGGGCGTGAAGTAGTCGGACGCGTTGACAACTTCACTTATCTTGGAAGTCTGATCAGCCCTAATGCGTTGGTGTCTGACGAAATCTCAGCACGGATTCGAAAAGCTCGCTTGGCTTTTGCCGACTTACGTCACCTATGGCGAAGGCGAGATATCCGTCTACCAATAAAAGGACGAGTATACTGTGCGGCAGTCCGTTCTGTTTTACTTTACGGCTGCGGAACGTGGCCATTACGAGTAGAAGATTCTCGTAAGCTACTAGTATTTGATCAAATATGTCTTAGAAATATCGCTCGCATTTTCTGGGATCACCGGGTAAGTAATAGTGAGGTTAGACACAGGGTATTGGGGAACGATGGTAAATCAGTTGATGAGGTTGTAAATCTTCGTTGAATAAGATGGTTGGGCCATGTGTTTCGTATGCCTGAACACCGTTTACCACGACGCGCAATGCTGAGTGGTGTTGGAGACGGTTGGAAGAAAGTTAGGGGCGGTCAAACCAAAACGTGGCATCAGTCCTTGAAACCACTAACTTCTAGTCTGAGCCACGTTGGTAGATGCAGACTACTTGGTTAGGGTGTGCGTGACTATCGTAACTAATGGTTGGAGATTCTTGGTGACATGGCTCAGAATCGATCACAATGGCATTGGTGTATACACTCTCTGTCTTCCCTTAAACTAAGAGAGCAAAATCGCTCCATATCTTTCTTTCTACTAACTATTTCTCTCTTCTTGTACTATATCCTTATATGCAATCTTCCTTTTATATATTACCACCATTGAATTAGCTACTTCTATGAACCCAGTGAATCTTGTTGTGCTAATGCAGTATGGAAACTTGGACCGATGCACATATGTGCCTGGTCCTACGTTGTAGATGACTGACAGACTACGTGGTTGGGGTCCACTTGATTATCGTAACCAATAATCAGAGACTTTGGATGACATGGTTCAATATCGATTGCAATGGCGCAGGCTCATCTACTTTTAGTCTTCACCCAAATTCTGAGATTCTAAGTTCCTCATAACTTTCTTCGTTCTTATCCCGCTAATTTATATATATTTTTCGAGTTGCATCTTCTGTGTTTAATCTTTCCTATTACCACTGATACTGTTACTACTTCTACTGGTCTGGGGTTTTGCCTGACAATTTCATTTCGGTGTGCTAATGGGGTACATGCATACAGGTTCTACTTTATGAATGAATGACTAAATAACACGTTTTTATTTATTTGTTTTCATTTCCTTTTTCCTTATCTCCAAAGTCCTGAGAAGTGTTATACAACTGACTTTTTCACAAATCACTGGCTTGAATATGTAACGGTTGTAAAGTCAATCCTCACTAGTGACTATAATATATGGCGATTTTTCCTTCACAAATTTCCCTTTCGTCCCTTGGAAATATAAAACAGAATATAATTCTGAGTTTTGTTGCTATCAATATTGGGTCTTTATTTTTTAAAATTTAATTTCGCGAAAATGTCAGAAACCGTGTCCCATCGGTCTAGTGATTTGAAAGCCCAAGCCTTTGAAATTTTAGAGTGCTTCTAGAAGGTTTTTATTGCTTGATACCAACTAGACAACTTCAAATGGCGTCTTTATTTCTGCATAAAGATGTCAAACTCCTTTCCACGGAAACTTAGGATAATGTTTAAAATGCATCACTGAAGTCTTTAATGTTTTCACTACGTCGAGAACTGAATTTCTATACTGACGCCTTTTTTCTTTGACAAATTTTAGGTAAATGGAAAATTATCATTATCCTGCTAGCAAAGGTAGAGGAAAATGCTGTAACAGAAGGAAATATCAAACAACTATATGACAAGACGAAGAAACCGGCAAGGAAACATAGTAAACCAGAGAGGCTGGTCAAGGACAAAGGGGGAAAAACCAATCACTGAAAAATAGTATATATATATATATATATATATATATATATATATATATATATATATATATATATATATATATATATATATATATATATATATATATATGTATATTTATATGGCAGTGCTAGACATTTCTATTCACCAGTTTGTGAGGATATCAGCTGGGAATCTCCTACACAAACGAGTGTCTCGAATTTCCAGAATGCAAGCTGGAGACCTTTTGTTGTGCTTTTATATCAATGATGTTTGAGACATACAATCCGCCCTTATTAACTACACAAATATTGAGTCCTTTTCTTTTCGTAGCTGTATTTTCAACCCACTGTAGCCCCAAACACAAAAATGTGGACAAATAATCAGCTCAGTAGCACCAAATTAATCTATTTATGCAGTGGATTATACAATACAGTAAATTAAGATGAAAAGCAAAGCAGAATAATTAACCTCAACCCACCAAATGAGTAAAAGCTAAGAGCTATTGCTATACCAGTATGAAAACTTCGTTTTCCACCGACATGTAGAAAGACTAAGATTTTTAAGTGAAATTACCAAAGCATCTAATTATTTTACTCTATCGTCGAACTAGGATTAACGCGAACTACTCTTGGAACACTTTAAATTTAGAGGAGAAACGTATCTCTAATGTTTATGCATTTACATTTGCTAGGAGTTACCCAACCACATACACAGTACTTGAAAACACCACAAACCTTTTTGTCCCCACCGCATCGATCTCATCAATAAATACGATACTAGGTGCATTTTCCTCTGCCAACCGGAACAACTCACGAACCAATTTTGGACCATCACCCAAATACTTTTGAATTAATTCTGACCCGACAACCCGAAGGAAGGTAGCTGATGTTTGGTTAGCAACAGCCTTAGCTAGCAATGTTTTGCCTGTAAAAAGAAATATTTGTGCCAACGCGAGAGAATATTTAACCCATTAATAATATAAACTAGCGGTAAATTATTTGGTGGACAAATCCCTTTATTGGGCAACTTGTTACATAAATATCGCAGTTAGAATTTAAAAGAATTTTGGAGTTGAGCACTGAATTAAGCGGAACTGTAGTGTCTATTTCAGAGGCAGGAAAAAAGCAATCTCCAGGTCTATCAGCTTGAGAGAGGAATTCAAATTTCAGTTGGACTGACCAAATTATACAGAATGAAACTTTCATCTGCCATCTGTTTCTAGATAGGTGCTTGGACTATCAATTCATTAATTCACACAAATACAAGTGTACACACGCACTACCTACATACCACACATTAATAACAAGTCAGAAGAATCACAATTCAGTAGAAATTATTCAGCGGGGCTATAATTTGTAGACGAATCAATCAGATCTAGGGCGAGCCCTGAATTTTGGAGCGAAATTCATTCATTTATATGATTAAATGGCATTTTGGGATGATATCGGTTCACAATGAGAGCACAACTCTAATTCATGATAGTAACTTCTAACTCTAAATCCAGGTTATGATTTCTCATACTAATTTATAACACTCCTTAAACCCTAGTGATTAGGTGATTTCCAAAAGACCAGTTTGGTGTCGTTTAAAAGGTCGTCATAAATTATGGTATCCCTAATCATTTTTACTGGAACCGCGACTCATAAACCCTAATTCGGGAACGACTCTACACATAAGATGGGAACCATACCTAACTAGTAGGTTGAATTACTGCTAATTATGGGGGCTAGGTCACCTAAGGTGGAGGACTTTTGTGGGTGATTGAAGCAGATAAAGCAATTCACAATAGCAAAATGAAATGAGTAAAAATGGTGATACCGACAGCAATGGAAAAGTATAAGAAACCAAAAACTATGAGTCACTATTCGCCAGGTTCACTAGAAATGAAGAATAAATGAGCCTGATCTATTAGAACTTAGTTTTAAAGCGTCACATAGTTTCTAACTAAAGGTTTCGAGCATCTCGATCATAAAGTTTGCATTGTCTTGATAATTTCAAACTGGTAGTTAGATTTAAGCGGGGAGGGGGAGATATATGCTAACAGACGCCTTGGAAAGGCTTGAGGTGAAAGACAGGCAACCTAATGTGCTGTCCACTTAGTACAGAACAATAAATACGCAAAAATAGAAAACAATCCTACCTGTCCCTGGTGCACCGTACAAGATTACGCCTTTGGGGGGTTTAATACCCATTTCTTCATAAAGTTCTGGATGAGTTAAAGGTAGTTCAACTGATTCTTTAATCTCCTGGATTTGTACATCGAGTCCGCCAATATCAGCGTATGTTTCTTGTGGAGCCTTTTCTAACTTCATAACTGTAACCATAGGATCGGTTTCGTCTGTCAAGACACCAACAACAGCATGAACCTAAATAACCCAGGTAACAGCAATAAATACGACGGATACTTTATGGTTTAACAAGACAGAACACCCAGGTTCAAGCATGCCCTTATCGACGAAAGAAAGAATGCTAACATAGTGCTCGCTACCAACAGAGGTAGATACTACAACGTGATTGTCGTCAATAATTTCTTCCAAGGTCCCCACGGACATTGGAGTGCCACGCAAATCATCAACTTTTGACCGTTCCTCCTAAGACCAGTTTAAAGATAAGATTAGGAATACCTCATGACGCTCTTCATCCGTTTTAAGACGCTCCTGATTTTTGATAAACTCTTCTTCCATTAGCAGAAAATCCTTAATTCTCTCCATTTTTAATAAACGAAGTTTACAACGTGTATGAGGTGTGACTTGAGGTAATTTGTTGGCACTATCTGGCCCTTTGGATCGTTTGTGTTTACCCATTCTAGTAGGTACTGGCGGATCGAATTCTCTTCGTTTAGTCTGGGAATAAAAAGTAAATAGTGTCTCATACCTTATCATCTTTCTTATTTCCTTCTTGACTAGATTGCTTTTGACCCTGGATACAGAATTATGAAGGAAGTATTCACAAACCATTGAGAACGCAAAATGTCTGGAGAAAAACGTTTCCGCGAGCCTTGGTATGGGGAAGAATGAACAGTCAACTGTTAACCTAAGCAACCTGACACACTAAGAAAACTTTTTGTACTGGGCGCCTACATTCAATGGTTCAAATGGTTCAAATGGTTGTGGACGGAATAGAAGAAGCTTTCGCTTAACAGGCTTCCGTGTCTAGTAGCAGGGGATCACCAAATCCTCCAGGCAGGAACCTAGGTATGTTAACAATAAAAGAGGAAAAGAAATTGGTAAATCATAGTGCGATGATGT